ACTCTATGGGTCTGAGACAAACAAGACCCCTTCAGTAGAACTTCACCAGGGAACAATGTTTTCCTGCAGCTCTAACTCCCTCAGACCAGTGACAGTTTTTTCAAGTCTGAATCTAAATATAAACTTCCCTCATGACCATGCTGAGCAGACAATCAGTCATAATTTTTGTCATTTTTCCACTAATGGATTAAAATACAACTCCAAACCCGCAGGCCATACTAATACTTATCAACTCATCATTGATTTAAGTATTTCTGTAATCATTAGCACTATTTCCACAGGAAATGCTCAAAAGGTTTCCATGAAAGGAGGAGAAAAATCTGTTTTTCTTTCTTTCCACCCCGATACAGCCTTAGTGATTACAGCACAGACTTCTATTAAAAAATCCCAAAGTATTTATAGTGAATAGGAATGGGACAGAAAGCTATCTTTAGTTCACACGAATTTGATCAAAACGACTCACAAGAAGTTCTCTGACACACTCAAAGCTGCCAGCACTTGATCCTTTCTCCCCTGCAGGAGTCTGTTCCATGGATGCGCAGACTCGGGGTGTGGGAAGAACCTGCTGAGACTACCAATGGATCTATTATTTGGCTCATAAAACTTGTAAAAATCTCACAGAATGTACAATGTGCTATTGTGTCCGTAAATCTCTTTCATGACTTGGTTAGCAGCCTGACTCAAAGCAGTCTGGCCTGTTTTCTCTTCTACCATAAAAGGGTTTTTGAAAGAGCCATTTAGCTGTGACCATGGTTTCGGCAACGCTGTGAAGACAAAGGAAGGGTTGAAGCCATATGGACACTTCAGTACTCAGACTTCAGCAAATGAGTACTTTTTTTTCCCCCCCCTTAGAACTTGCTTTTGCATAATTAGCTCTCTATATACTGAATGAACTAATACATCAATATTCAAGATGCAGGAGACTGCATTTGTGAGCTGTAATTTAGATTCATGTATTAGAAACCACAGTATGTCTATACAAAGCATTCCCTAGAAAAATACCTTCAGAGGATTAATTTTAGAATCAGCGCTTTCTGTCTTTACCTTGAACAGAATAAAACAGGAGGAAAACCAGTTTATTTTGCCTTTCCTCTGTCTGGAGTATTTCTAAATACAAGGAATTATTTGTATCACTTTTAGTGACCAGATTCTAGCAAGGGAAGGTTTGTATAAAAAGCAAATCGATAGAGTCATCTTCTACGTCTACCATCAGTCTCTCTGCCCTATACAGCAAACATCTGCTTGTAATCGCTATTGCCACAATAAACACGATGAAGTTCTTTTCATTGTGAATCTAGCTAGTTTAAAACTAGCTGCTTGCCTTGGGAGCTGAAGGAGACTAGATACGCTTGGGCAGCCTGGTAAGTGCATCAGTTGTGAGGAAGGCACATATCTGAGGAAGGCACATACTTGATCATATTGGATCTTTCAGAACAGCCGGATACAATTAGCATCTCGGGGGGCAGCAGGAGTGGGGCTGCTCCCTAAGGGAAGGCGATCCGGGAGTAGAGGGTGGGCAACAGGCTCACCAGCAAGGCGCAGTCCCACCGAGATGCCGGCAAGCAGAGCAGGGCGATGACACCAGCAGGTCCCATCACAGTCCAGCGAGCCTCAGGCAGGAGAGGGCAACAGGCCAGTCCAAGGTCCGTCCAGGGCTTCCCACACAGCACTTCAGGAACAAGGCTAGGGGCACGCACACCTAAGATGCTGCTGTGACAGTGCCTGAAAGCGCCAGCCTGAGCTTAAATAGAGCCCTTGCTCAGTGGGTGTGGGTGGAGGTCCTAAGTGAGGCTGGTCAGGGCACGTAAGGCCAATTAGTGCCCTCAGGGCCTGGATGCAGTACACTTTGCTTGGGACTGTATTCTTGGCTAGAATCACTAGCAGCCAGACTACCCTAATACAACTTAAATTTGTGCCACTTTCAAGATAATGAAATTTTTTACAAGGCAAATGAATCCAAAGTCTCTCTTTTCTTTACAGTCTGAACAGCAAGATGAGAGAAACAAGATTCAGTATCAAAGACTTTGTGTGCAATCAGCTTGTTCTAGTGTTAACTTTGATACATGCTTGATACACCACACATGCTTAATACTCAAGTTTATATGCGTTTTCAGTCAGTCAGCCAACTTTGCCTAGAGACAATACTAACTGTATTTTCCTGTGCATCAGAAATATGAATCTGTCTCTCAGAACTTTGGTATCCTGAATCAGCGGAATAGATTCCCAAAAGCACTCTTGTTGCTGCCTCCCTCTTCTCTTACTATCTCTTCTGCACTTAAAGGTATTTTTTTCACCACTTAACCAACGTCTGTCAAAGCCTACCCAACTGGCACCAACACTGCTTGCTCAGACTAAGTATGCACACATTAAACATCAAATAGACTTGTGCAAATGGCAATGTTGGTGCAAGCATAGTGAGATGCTACAGAAATCTATTATTTCAGCTTTGTAACTTGAGTAGGTCAGTGTTCTGCAGGTTATACTTAACATTGCCATCATCATTTTTTCAAGGAGCTGGAAAATTTATGAACATTAATATAGTAGTTACCATGAGGTAAGTTATAGAAGACAATGAACACATACCTGCTGAAACTTAAGCCAACAAAGAAGGTTCCAAGATCTTCTTGTTATGAATTCAGGCGCATCTTTTACAGTCACAATAAACTCATAACAGATTATTGATGAGAGTCCTCCTTTATTTGGCATTAATGATCACTTTTTGTGTAAGAATACATTTCTGGAATCAGTTTTGTTAGTAACCTGGACTACAGCCAAAAAATGGTTTTGGGGGCTGTATTTACTAGAAAGTAATTTCTCCATATTTTTCAAAGCTGTAGTTCAAGATTTTCTGTCTAGAATCCTGATATAATACCACTGAACTGGGGACCAAACTCACAGTTCGCTAAAGGTAGGGATACAGACAGGAAAAACTGAAAGAGGAAGGAGAAAAGAAGGGGATTGGCAACCCTTGTATTCTCCCTCTAAGTCTCTTTTCCCCGGGCTTTTCTCCCCAACATCAAAGTTTTAATAAGTAAGCTTAGTACCACTGCTATTGACAAGAGTCCAAGACAAGCTTCTACTAGAAAAGTTGAAAAGATCAGAAACCGCATTTATAATGTAGAACTTGCTGCAACAAGACAAGACACACATATTGATGAATTGGCACACGAAACTTCTGCCTTCTACTTCGCCGTATTATTAAAATGGTAACAACGTACTCTGTACAGCATAGCGCAAGATAGCCAGTAAATTAGAGCAATTAACATGTCCACCACTTTGTTGCCTTTGGCATCGCCTCTCTACAGTACTCTTCAGAAGGCTCTTGGCCTTCTCTGCCTCTGCTACTTTACCATATCCCAATTTTAGGCTGGGATTGAGGCCAGGGACCTTGCAACACTGAGCTAACTGTTTAGAGTGGAATTCCAGCAGCAGTCCTCAGAGTCCTTTGGCAGCCCCTTTTCCATGCACCTTCCTGTTCTGTTCTTCCCCTTCACTTCTTCCAAACCCTAATTCCTACCTCTACCACAACCCTAGGCGGAAAGTCCAGCAGAGTATCCTCCACACTTTCAGTCAAATTAATTCTCGGCACTTTCCTTTGGCAGTCCTCTCTCAACACTGCGTTACATTCTCCTAGTTTACTTCTTTGATCAACCTGAACCCTAAACTGGGCACCTCTCCATTTCCCTCAGCTACGAACACCCACTGAAGGAATTCTAGCAGCAGAACCCAGCTGACTGGCTCTCCTCAGTTTCTTCCTCACCCGAACTCTAACCTGAAGCAGAAATTCAGGTGTCTGAAAAATTCAGGCTGTCATAGAATCACAGAATTGTTTAGGTTGGAAAAGACCTTTAAGATCATCAAGTCCAACCGTTAATATGTCCACATGAATAGCTACAGAAATATCCCACATTCAAGGATAACCTGTGTTTATCAGGCACTTTTCAGAAGATTACGGTCTTCTAAAAGACAGGGAACAAAGCCCAACAATTCAAGAAGCCCGCTGTTGAGAGACACGACATAGAAGCCAGATTCTTTCAAGGTTCTGAGAAATAATATTCACTTAAATGAAACATGTTGAAAGGTACTAATTCAGTGGAAATTACAGCACTGCAAGAGACTCAAAGTGCAGAATCACATCCCTAAGGTTTCTTCCAAAGTTTCTATATTGCCAATCCAGGACTGATTTTTGAATAAAATTTATGAATGCTCCAGTGTAATTTTTATTTACTCTACCAAAATACACATGTATATATTTTTCAGCACTCTGATCTTAAACAAAGGGAAAACAGAACTTACAATTTTGCCAGGATTCCAGTTACTTTTTGCACCAGAAATGAGTTTTTAACTGCACTGTTACTAAGTACATCGCTAAAACCAGTAAACGTAAATCTGACATTTTTATGTTCATTTCAGATGTGTTCCTTCCACAGAAACCCATAAGCAAGAAATACAGATTCTTTTAATCTGTTAACAAAGGCAAGATCATAGGTAGTCACCATGTAACTGAACAGAGGCCCCAATATAAAAATGCAATGCAGTCCCAAAGCACAATACCGACTGAAGCGTTTCACTGAAGCATGCAGAAAATAGTCTGACATTTATAATGAGTTTTTCTGTAGCAAAAGATAGACAGAAGCACTATTTAACTACAAATAACTGGAAATGCTCTGGCAGTGCTGGCTATATACTGAATATAGTATTTTGAGGGTAAGAAATGGTACCTTACCTTAACATATTCCAAAGTAGGATCCAGAATATTCTGATCTCTGTAAGAAATGGGGCAAGGAGGGAGGAAGAAAGGACACAAAAACAAACAAAAAAACAAATGGTGAGTCCAAATATAATCTCATACTGAAAGAGATGCATTCAAATGAGCAATAGGCTACTAGGTCATGTTGAAATCCTCGTTAAAACTGTGTGTTATAGCTAGATGGCCTACACTATCTAATTTTTAACAAATACATAAATCACTGATTTCGTCTAGAAGGTCAGGTAGTGGAGCCACTAGTAAATAATTTGGGCAATGAAGTTAAGTATACAGTTTTAAGCAAAGCAAAAACTATCTTGAAATTTCAACAGATGGCTGAAAATACTTACATACCACCTAAAACATTTGAAGTAGATTCAAAAGAGAGCTCTCCCAATGGCTTCTAAATTAATTTATTTGCTTGTATATTTTCCCATTTAAGCTACTGCTTGAGAGAGCATTGCTAACGCAAGAAAATAGAAAGTAAAATATTCATTTTTTATATAAACAAAGCAAAGAATTCATAGATTTGCAACAGTAGAATGTTTTATTTATGGCTCTTGCACTCTTTTAAAAAGTTATCATAATTATGATAATTCCAACATTACAGTTACTTGGAAGCCAGATAATCAAGTCATTGCTCTATTTTAAAGAGAAAAGATCTCTTTGCAGGTTTTCTATACATAGAGACGGCAAAGGGCACCGAAGCCTGAGTGAAGAGCCCTGTGATCAATTACTACTCTTTCCATAAACAGAAATAAAAATAAACATATATTTTTAAAGGTTTTTGTGTATTTGTTTTTGTTTGAGAACTACCAGGTTAACAGTTTGCAATAAGTGACTGGATGTCTACAGAGCCTGAGATGACAAAGAGGGCGCTGCCTTAAATACAAACATATAACAGACACAATGAAAACCTTGCAAACTTACAGAAGGATCAGGAGCTTGTTATAGCAAACACGACAACATACGCCCCATAAATTTAGAAACAGAATCCTGTTTGGTGGAAGTTATTACGATGATGCAGCACTGGAACCCCAATAAGCAGCTTCAGATATGCAGAAATTGGGTTACACTGGAATCAACCAACCCAGAATACAGTCTCTAAATCCCTGGTATTGTTTTGAATGTGATTGTGTATCACCTGAAACTAAGTTATTATTTTATACTCAGTTTTTAGCCTGGTTCCCTAGTAGCTTTTAATCCAGAATACCTATACGGAGGCAAAACGGAGCCCTCCCACTTCTTAGCCCTGCCCATAAATGACGGTGCTGAGCTGTTCAGGCTGCATCACACGTCACTGTTTCATATTATCCCAATATTTATCAAGGGTCAAGTTCCATTCCTGGCTTAGTTTAAACAAACAACAACAACGATGCTGCCAAATTCAACAGAAATAGAATTTGGACCATTTGAAACTTTCTTCCTAGCCAACATACAAAGAAGGGGCAGCTTGGTAACTGTAGGCACATAAAATATGTACAAGCGTATCAGAGAAAACAGGGGTGAAGCACAAAGGAAAAAGAAAAAGGAAGTTTCTAAACAGAAAAAAAGTTTTCTTTCTCAACACTTTGCAGTTAGACTGGGAAAAAAAATGCCATTCTTAATCAGTTCAGCAAAGTCATTAAGCATGGGTGAACTCTTCTCACATTCAAACGATCAGCAGGAAGTTGTGCCGGTACCAAATGCTTCTGAAAAACTTTGCAGTTTAGTTCTTCACTTGCCTGTGGAATCTTTCAGGACAAGGGGTCTACCAGCACTGGATATGCAATACCTCCCAAAAGAACGAACCTGAGCAATAAGGCTAACAACCAGTTTACTTGCTTACTTTGGCAGCGAGCATGTTTTGTTATGGTCTGCATTTCCAAACTCCACTCCGCAGACTGACCTTGCTACAGACTCCACTGTTCCCTCCCTCGGGTACAAGACAAAAGATCTTTAGGACAGGATCAAGCCAAACCAAATTAAAGAGGTAGAAAAGCTCTAAGACAAACCAGTTTATTTACTGCTATATAAAGCAGGAAAACCAAGAGAGGGAAAGAAGTGACCTACATTTCCTTCATCATCCACACGACAAAAGTGCTTTGAAACTTTTGGCTTTAAGAAACAGATGGTGTAACAAATCTCATCACGAGTACTACAATATTTAATCCGGTAGGCTGTTAGACAACAAAACGTAGGGAAGCCTGCAATTCACCACCAGCGCAGGTTATACATGACGATGTTGGTGTCGTAGCCCTATTCACCTCAGATACCTTTCTCCTACCAGATCGACCCCTCTCTCCCCATCTTCCCTTGTTGTCTAAGTCTTTACCTTTGTGCAAATTTTTAAAAATTATTTTCAAGGAATGGTAACTTTCATTGATGTGGAGTAACTAATAGCAAAGATTAACTACTGCATTTTCCTGTCATTCGATTCCAACACGGCACTGCCCCATAATACGCAGACATACAATTTAAGCAGTTAGCCCAAATAACTAGGAACTAACCAAATAACTAGATCACAAAACTAACTCCTGAATCTCAGCTCTGTTAGCCATGATGACGTGCTCCTTTATGCCGTATGCTCCCAGCAAAGGAAATCTATAATGTCAGGAACCTAAGAAAAACGTAAAGCATTTATTTTCCTTTCCCTCTCAAGGGATCTTAATAAAAATGGTGAACCCACAATCTCCTTTCTTGTATTAGATGATCTGCAAAAAAAAATTAGTACTTTTCAGGTAGCTACCAGATCAGAGGAAAGGTACTTGCAGGCTCTGCCATCTCTCAAATCAATTCAACTGAAGGTTTGTTTCAATAATACTAAGTTGTTCTCCTTTCATCAGATTTTATTACATTTCAAGTAATGCTAATGTTTATCTTCATAATAAGCTGGAGTTTACAGCTGTATTCATTTGCATGTTTACCTACAACATGTATGTATTAGAGTCTGCACATAAGTCAACCATTACTGTGTAAGCTGTGGGTTCACAGACTGGGTTTTATTACACATTTTGGCTTCCTAATAATCAGATAAACCCTATTTTCATTCATTTAAAAAGCACTTTTAATACAGAAAGATGTCACCTGGAATAAAGAAGTTTTCAGAACACCTTAAGGAAAGGTGTTGGGTAAGGGCTGAAGTAGGACACACAGTATTGACTTCATGCTCTTTTCATACTCATTCTGTCACAGAAAAGAATTTAAGAAAGGGATGCAAACACACTCCCGCATCCATTTTGAGTATTCACATTACTGCCAGACTCTATCACCTCATTTCGTGACAAAATTAAATCCCTTTCCAGCACTTTTTTGCTCTTAGGAGAAAAAAAAACACAACAACAACAAAAAACCCAAAGCGCCTGACTTGATACATATAATTAAGCCATTCCCCTGAGCAGTGCAAGTCCTCTATTGACCCTCCTCCACATGCACAAAGTCTGCGTGGAAACTGTAGTAGCATAAACATGCCTCCAGTAATAATTCATCACTAAAAGAAAGCAGTTAGTCATGACTACCTTAACCTTCACCATTCCAAGGCTGTCCTAGCCAGAAAGACATTCTTTCTAGAGCATCCCTACTGACACCTTCCTCTCTGCTGGCTGCTTTTGCAGACTTATAATCCTTTAATCTCTCCCTACTAGCCCTTGAAAACTACCTCAATTTCTTTTCAGTCCAGCTACAAGATTCTTATAATTATGGGGGTTTTTGCATGTATGGGATTCTTACTGATGCTGCCAAGAAAATACACAGAGCTTGAAAGTCAGGCATGGAGCTCCAGCAACCCTACAAAAAGATGAAGCCAAGACAACAGAAAATGTGGAGCTCCTCCTTTGCTTCTCTCTTCTTCCCCCAAAGCAAAATCTGTTGCAACAGTAAACAGCTTGGTATCATACTGGTTGGGAGTGACTGTCTATGAGAAGTACTGATACTTTTGAACATAACTTCTCAGAAAACAGGGATTAGCGTTATACGTAGACTCCTTCAACATACAGCTAAGGCTGACTTAGATGAGAAAAGGGAATGGAATTCAGATGTTATTGGATGCTACTCTTTCACTTCCCAACACCTCTAAATGATAGCCAAATGTGTGGGAAGAATTAAAAGAAATGCCTTTTGAACTTGTCAACATCAGCAGTCATCAGCTAAAAGGAAAAAAAAAATCCCTAAAAGCAACTTGAATCGTACTTCTGGTATGACAAATTAAACACTAAATAAATGCCATACTGCTGACTTCAAATCCTGCACCGGTTTGAAGACAATGAACAACCAAGTATGAAAATCAGAAAAGAAAACATTGAAGTCTGAGTAACTAGTCATGCTTTTAAAAATATTTGATAAAATTATTACGTACTTATAATCAATGATACAACTGAAAAGCCAAATATCCTAGAGTTCAACCCCAACACAAATTATTTGGTTCAGTGGGTGCAGAAGAACAGCCAGAATCTCAGTAACTCAGAAACAGTCTGGTTTTTTTCCAGACTCCAAGGTTTGTCCGATAGCTCTCTATAACACTGCTTCAATCAAGAAGCTTTAAGCAGATACCCTGTAATCTTTAGCTGTTGATTCTGTGAAAGCCTCCATCTTTCTCCTAACAATTGTACAGAATCCTGCAACGTACAGACCCTGACAGACTAAGCCATATTAAGCGTCTGCTTTCTCCAGGCCTTTGGCATCCTCACAGACACATCAGTCACAATTATAAATCAGTTGTGGTAACTTTAACAAAATTTAAGCGTAAACACAACAGTATTATCAGAAATGCCCAAATCCTCACCATCATTCAACTATTATATAGATATTCTTACAGTGATAGAAACTGCTGAATGGCCCTGAAGCAGCTTTGTGCTAGCCCACACTTATAAATGTACTTACGGGAAAAACGTTAGGACACTTTGCTAGTACTCGATGTGTGAAAGTATGCTTATTTATTTTAAAGTGACTTTTGTTAAAGGCATTTGCAAAAACATCTCCTTTCTACTACATTGAAAGAGCGATCCCGAGAAGAACAATCTTCTCAGTAATGCCAAAACCAAA